GAATGGGAAAGAATGATGCTATAAATATTTACTGAGAAGATAACTAGGGCCCTGCGTGCTGGGCCAATTATAATGTACTAAATATATTAGCAAAATGCTTAAAAAATTGGGGAGGATCTGTGTGGGTCTTCGGGTAGGTTGGTTTGTTTTGGAAAGTGAAATAAAAGGCGTGATGTTACTGTCTTGTCAGTTTTATTAAGCCCGAGTCACAATGGCAAACCCAGGGAAGGACACATGAAACACACATTAATGCAAATTAATTCGTTATGAGTTGCAGAGCTGTGACTGCTAAGTGGAGTAATGATAGGGCATCATTTTAAGAGTGTTAATGTAGCAACTTTTAATGAAAAATGCTGTGTTAGGAACATGTCTCAGCACCTTAGCCCACGTGTTTTTATATGCTAGAAATGCATTTCATACAAGAGCAGGAAACTTGATTCACTTCATACCCCCCTCCCCCTGTTTAAGAACTTTAATTATGTTTTGATGTTTAAAGAAAATCTTCTGGTTTTTCTTCAAAAATCAGCCCAGAAATGCCTATCACTGGAACCAAGTTCAACTTTTCTTTTCTTTCTTTCTTTTTTTTTTTTTGCATCAGATTGCAACACTGAGCAGAAAAACAATGGATGTAGCCACCCCCCCCATCCACCCCCCCAGAGACCTACATCTATAACTTTCTTGAAGTCATTTTTTTCCCTCCTTTTCTTTCGTGGAGGATTTTAGTCTCAGGCAATGTTGCAAGTCTTCTTTCCCCAAATGCGAGTAGGTGGATGTGTATGGAAGCTGTAAAAGTTAATGATCGTTCTCTGACTCATAGCTGATGGTTTCAGGTTGAGGAAAAGAAAAGAAAAATTAATGAGGGTAAATAGACCTTGGATGGAACATCGAGACAGTAGGAGAGATTGTTCCTGTGTCTAAAGGCATGCGTTTTGTTGGAGCAGAATTTCTGAAGGAGAATGCCAGGAAGTGAAAAGGGGATGCCTTTGTTAAGTTGTTGTTTTAGGATGGTACAAACGTTCAGTGTCGAGATCGGGGGAGGAATGTTTAAGCCGCTATGCCTACCAGTCAGTGCTGGTTTTGCTTTCCTTGCGGAAGTTAGAGGCTCCCTGGGCACTTTTGGGAAGGGCAGTCAGTAATCCAGAGTCCTGGTCGGAAGTTTATTTCCCATTATATAGAAGAGGTTTGTCGCATAGGACAAGGGGTGCTGTCTGGGTCCTGAACAATGACCGATGACCTAAGAAAGACTCTTAGATGTATGAACAGCAGCAAACGTATGCTGTCTTTTAGGGTAATGATGTGGGAATTAAACATCAGGCGGCTCCTGGTGGGAGCTACAGGGTAAAAGTGGACCCCAAATCCCCCAGGCCAAAACCTTTTAAAAGGGGAATAAATCTGGATTTTTTTTTTTCTTGAAATAAGAAAGAAAGCCAGGTGATTCATAAAACCGAAAATAAAGCATAGGCTCCACCTCTTCCCAATTTAGTGGAAAGAATAGGTCTAAAAATTTAGTCTTTATCGCACTGGAAGTTCACTTAGTGTTGGAAAAACCAGCACAGCGTTTAAATTACTTTCTATTTAGTCCCCTTTGCAGGGGAGACCTCGGTGGTTGTGAAAGTAGTTTTCCTTTTTCTCTCGTCTCCGGATATCTCTGATGTCTTGTATCTGAAACATCAAATTAAGAGCCAGTAGTAGTGATTAGAAATAAAACAAGAGACATCAAGATATGGTAATAATATGGGAAGGAGTTAATTGTCAATTGTTGGTTTTTTAATTGCTGGGGAATTGTGCAAGCCTGCGCCAAGCATCACCCCATCTTCGTGGTTCTTCCCCTGGACAAGTGAGGGCCAGATCATCTGGGGGTGTTCGGGTGGGTGGGTGGGCTTGGCCATTGTAGACAAGCACACAGGAAGGGAAGGTTTATTTTGTTGGAAGTTTCACGGGAAGAAATTAACTGGAAAGGGCCCTGGAGTTCTCATTTGGTGGCGTCCTGGGATGCCCCAGGGAGGCGCCATGACGGGGACATGGTACATGTCCATGGTGTAACAGCTACGCTTGCTGGTGGAGGAACCTCGTGACGGAAGGAAGTGACTCAGGCTGCAGCAGGTGACCAGGGGCAGGGCGGCCCCAGGGGTGGGGGCCTGTGGCAGCCTGGTTCTTGAACTCAGGTGAGCCTTGTGCTGGATCTCTCCACCTCCCTCCCCTCATCTTCCGGGGGGGGGGGTGGGGGGAAAGCCGCCATCTCTTGTCCTTGCCTTCCTTAGAGGTTTTTTACAGAGAGAGAAATAAATTCTTGCTCCAGTCCCGAGTGCCAAGTTTTTCTGGGTCCTTGTATTTTGTCTTTGTCTTAAAAAGCTAGACCATAACGAACAAGGCATCTTTGTGTTTTATGGAGAAGCAAAAAGCCTTAGAAAGTCTGTGCGTAAGAAACTAGTATTTGGGAAAAGAGGGGATGGAAACCCAAAGGAGAAACAAGAAAATTCGAAGTCTTTGTCGCTGTAGCTCTGGGAGGTTTAGCTCCAGGTGGGTCCCAAGACAGTGATTACTGGCTGGGAGCGAAGATCTGATTGGAGGTTGTGCTGTGTGTATTTCTGAGCTGGTCTGGGTGGTTCTGTGTGGCTGGACACCTGAGCAGGGAAGTCACATTACTTGGGGGTGTTAGGATGGGGTGTGTGTGTGTGTGTGTGTGTGTGTGTGTGTGTGTGTGTTAAATTAACTTTGTCCAGCTAGAGTCCTAAGGACCTCGCAGCTGCATTTTTACTCTTTTAATTGCAGCATTCTCTCTGGGATTGTGTTGTCTGGGTGGTGATTGGACGCGAGGATTAAGAATGGAACCGGACAAGTGAAAATTGAATTTGGATTAGCCACAGTTTCATTAATTTATTCATAAGACTGTGATTATATGAAATTTTGTTTCCACGACATATCCTGAGTTATCAGGTGTCCATTCAATTTTAATTGACAATCTGAGATTCCTGTGGTTACCCTGAGTACAGATTGCCTAGGGGCTCTGCAGGGTTTGTGGGAAGAAAAGCTTGGACAAGTTTCCATTAAGCTCTGAATCAGGCAGTTGGAAAAGAGGAGAATAAAACCCTGCTGAAAAGGGGGACACGTTGTTACTGTTGCCTCTTGACTTAGAAGGAGAACCCCACCCCTCCTCCCCAAGAGCCGCTCTCCAGCCAAGAATTCCAAACTCGTAGAGGAACCTGTCCCTAGCACAAAAGTTGTTTTAAGATGATGGGGAATTGTCACACAAATTAGCGCAATCACTGTTTCCTGACTGGCAGTTTTCACAGAAAGGGCAGGGGGGCAAAGCGTGCAATTTCATCTTTCTTTTTCTGCGATTCACTTCGGTGAACTGTTTCTGAGTGTGTTGGGGGCGGGGCCGGGTGGAGGGGGCATTATCTCCACTTGCTCTGGGTTCATCTTGTGTTGTTTTGGGGAGTGCGGTTCAATCACTGCACTTTGACAGGTAAGAGAAAAAAAATATTTTTTGGCCTCATCTGTATCGTGCCCCCTTTCAACCTTGATTAATATGTTTGGGGGCAGGCGGACTCATATGTAGACAATGTTTTGACTGTTTATCTGGAATAGATAAAATGATCTCAGAGCCCACTGTATGCCAAAGTGGGGACTTAGAGCCTTTCCCATGAGCAATAAAAACATAGACTTTTAAAATTTGATCACTTCTGTGTTGTGTTTATTTTGAGTTGGTTCAAAAGTTCTGTGAATTTCTTTGTTTTTTATTTTTTTCTTTCTTTTCTTTTCTTTTTTTTTTCCCCAAAACCTGTGTGGACTGAATGATTTTTCATGCAAGGACCAAGATAGAAAATGATTGGATCTGAAGGCCCCTTGCAAGCTAGGTTACACTTTGTCATGATAAGAGAGAAGTGTTCCGGCAGAGAAGTGTTCCGGACCGGAGCAGGAATAGCAGTAGGAGTAGCAGTGGTTTGGAATCTCACTGATGCCCATTGCCATGAGAGGAATGAGCAGCGATTTCCCAGGGCCATCTAATTCCTCCTCGTTTGTTCCTATATTGCAGATTGAAATGCATTTTCAGATACCGTTGAGATCCTTTAGTGATTGTTGTCTTGTTTTTAAGATAAACCGGCAGATGGTGTCTGTTTTGCCTATCTGTAGGATCCCAGGGCCAATGAGTATTTTTTGGGGAAAGGAGAACTTGGTGGGGAAGCTCAGCATTCTGTCCTGTTTGGGGACGCCTCACTCTTTGAGGAAGAGTCTGTAGGGTTGCAGGGCGAAAGGCCCAGGAGGGACATCACCTCGTTGTGCAGAGTCTGAGGGAGCCAGGGACCAGCATTCACCCAGGGGCCACTGATTGGGTGGTCCTTAGAACACTCCGTGGCTCTTTGGCCTGGCTGGCTCCCTTTTTGGGGAAGTGTGGATTCCTAGAGTGCAGGCTATAGAGGTGTTCTGGGGCTGATAGTTTAGTCATTGCAAGAGAATGTATTAAGGCTTCTGGTGACCCCTGAATTCTGCCTGCCACATTTGTTTTCCCCAAAACAGAATTGTGTTTAGGAGCAAGAGTCCCCTGGTTAGAATGGTGGGGAGCATGTACCTGTTGTAGTCTCGTGGTTGCTCACAATCCTTTCTCACAACCTTTCCTCTTGCCTACGTGTCGCAATTCTGATGACTTTTTGCAGCACACAGTTAATTTTTCTGCAGCATCCTGCTCAGCACACTGGCGTCCTTTATGTTTTAATGGGCATCCGTCTTTCCTTTTCATGTCATTGATTCTCACTCCTGGCCCCCTCCCTCTCCCTTTTGCTTATTGAATAGGTGCTTTTTTCTTTTTTTTTAAACTTTACCTTAGATTATTGTGATCATCTTATCCATAGCAACAAATAAAAATACACAGGTCTTGATTGAATGCCAAGGCTGCAGTTCAATCTAGGAAGGTTTGTCTGCTATTCATAAACTGCTTAAGATGTTTTCTTGTAGTTTGTGACATAAGCAGAACGCTTTGATTTGGTTTCTTTCTACAGCTCCATTTTCAGTCCGGGAGCACACATTACTCTGCGTACAAAACGATTGAACACCAGATTGCAATTCAGGTAGGAAATGCAAGAGATCCTGAAGCTTGAATTGTCAATATGTAGGTCTCTTGTGTCTTTTATTCTCTGCCCCTTCCCCCAATCTAGATGATGATGATGTTGGTGGTGGTGATGGAGATGATGGTGGTTGGTGATGGGGATGAAGATGGTGGTGATGATGATGATGGTGATGGGGATGATGGTGATGATGATGGTGATGATGATAGTGATGATGATGATGGTGGTGATGGTGGTGATGATGGTGGTGATGATGGGGATGATGGTGGTGATGGGGATGATGGTGATGATGATGGTGGTGATGGGGATGATGGTGATGATGGCGATGATGGTGATGATGGTGGGGATGATGGTGGTGATATTGGTAGTGATGACAATGGTGGTGATGATGATGGTAGTGTTGATGGTGGGGATGATGGTGATGATGGGGATGGTGGTGATGGGAACGATGGTGATGATGATGGTGGTGATGATGGTAGTGATGTTAATGGTGGTGATGGTGTTGGTGATGATGGTGCTGGTGGTGGTTGATTCAGTGGGGGAGGTGGGAAGCAAAGAAATGAGCAGAAACGCTACCAAAGTGATTTAAAGATTATGGAAAGAAAGAGGAGCCTGTGGTGGTTCTTGTTAGGTTTCTTGGTCAGGAGTAATGGGCACACACACCTCAGCTTGGCTCTTGTTTTTGGCTTAGGGAAGAATCTTCAATTGGGTGTGAGATGAGGTGGCCAACTGTGAACTGGAAGAATTGGGCAAGGGAGAGGGTGGAGAGGGAGAGGAGGTTGTGACAGCCAGAGAGTTGTTTCCGGTGGGCCCAAATCGTGTTAAGTGGTGCTAAGAATATCGCTTTTGACCTGATCGTCCTGAAATGTTGATTTCTCTTGGACCTGTTGATATATGTCATTAAAAGTGCTGGAAGGGAGAGGTGACAGATCCCAGCTTCTGATGAGTGTCCTGTTTCCTGCTCACGTAGTACTTCCATTCTCTTAAATCCAAAGGCTAAACAAATCACAGACTAATATAGACTTGGAGCTGAACTGATGCCAGCAGAATGCAGTAGTGGAGGGAGAGCAGACTAATATAATTTTTGTCCGTCTGCCTTGCCTGGCTTTGCCAGGATGGATGTTACACATGGTGTAACTCATGGTACTGCAACTTCTTGAGTGTTCTGGTTTAACCCTTTGAAGAGAGGCTTTTGAAACCTGTTGCTATGATGTTGGAGTCTGGCTCTAGGTATTCTCTTCTCGGAATTTGATGTCATTTGGTTGAATAATTTCTGTTGTTCCATTGCACTTTATCTTGTATTCATCCCTGGCAGATCGTGTGTGTGTGTGTGTGTGTGTGTGTGTGTGTCTCACCAAACTAGAGCACATCGCATCTTGGTAGCTCTGCTGTTTCAAATCTGTATCTTCCTGGATAAGACATAGCCACGTGCCCCAGCTAAACTGTGAGTTCTTCCCCCAGTGAACAGTATGACCCTGCAGACATTTTTTGTTCGGAGGATCCCTAATATTTTTGTACTTACTTCAAGGCAACAGTAACTTATTTTTAAAATATTTTGTGTACATCTGCAGCATGCTGCCGATCTCTCTGTGTCTTTGAGGGGGAAAACGCGATCTTGATTTTTACCCCTTCACCCTAAATGTTTTCAAGCCTGATGTCTTGAACTCGCTGTGCAGTTGTTCCTGCTGGCGCATTTCCTCGTGGACCCTTCTTCCTTTTGATTAGTGGCATAGTGAGCCTTGCTTCCAGAAACTGGTTAGATGGGGAGCAAGCCCAAACCCCAAGTCTTGATGAGTGGAGGAAAGCACAGACAAATGTCCTGAGGCCTGCTACGTCCAGTGGAGTGCTGGAAAATCCTGTTGCCCGGGGTATGGGAATTGTTGAGGTTGAATAGCATAGTGATCCCTATCTTGGTGTGGAAATGCTGGCTGGGGCCATGTCACTGGGAGACCAGCCGAGACCAGAGCAGCTGTTGTGTCTTTACACCCGCTGCTGAAGCGTCCCTTGTTAGACCGAGCAGGTCGTCTTTCTCCAAACCACCTGGCATAGTGCAGGCCATGTGAAGCTCTTTCTCAGGAGGAAGATGGAGTAAATTACAGACCTCATTGTTTGGAGGACTGAAACCATTACTATCCCTCCATGAACAGGTAGTATTGTTCTCTCCTGATTCTGTTTGCGAAGGCTTGATGCCCATGGGGGCAAACAGAGAGACATTTTATTAGAGACCCAGCACTGGCATGCTGTCAGAGTTCATTCTCCCCCAATCTCTGCTGGACCGGGAGGAGGCCAAGCCAAATGGCATCTAGCTGTAATTGTAGTTTGATCATCAAAGGATAAGTGGCAGAAATCAGAAGAAGCAAAGGGAGAAAAGGGGAAATCTCGGACACAGAATTATTCCCCATGCATGTGGCAGCCTGAGTGCAGTGTGGGGCATAGAGATGAGGATGGTACTGCTTTGGGGTAGAACAGAGCTGATGTTTTCCCTTTGCGTCCTTCTCCAGCATAAGGCTTACATGCAATGTGATTGTTGGGGCAGAATTTTCTTTCCCTGGAAACTTAAAACTGCTTCACCTTAATAAATACTGTATTTCAATATGAGCTGAGCTTGTTGCTCTCCTAAGCTACATCCTAAAATAAACGCGGGTAGTATGACACCTTGCATCACATGAGACCCATACCCCTTTCCTTTCCTTTCCCATCCCTTGCAGTCTCAGGCCTCGGCCAAGTTCACCGTTTATATGAATGACCTCCGAGTGATTCTTTGGCCACGTCCTGTTCTTGGGAGAAGTCTGGGCACAGTATCCGTTGCTATTTGGGGATCTCCCCCACTTTTGACAATTTCCGAACTCCTCTCAGCTTTGGAAAGACAAGAGCAACACAAATGGCCTTACTCTCCCTAAGCAGTTAGCACAAATCTAACTGGAATGACAATTAACAGACCTTAAAAGAAGAAAAGAAAAAGACATACTTATTTGGCTCTACTGACTTTTAAAAAGTTTGACTGAAGTATAATGTAAGCATAGCACAGAACACAGGTCTTTAATGGAGAGATGGATGGACTTTTACACCCGTGAGCGTGCATGAACCATCTCCCTGACCAATATATCTAGTGGAGTTGGAACAGTTTTTCTGTAAAGGGCCCGATAGTAAATATTTGAGGCTTTGCAGGCCGTATGGTCTCTATGGCAGTGACTCAACTCTGCCATTGTGGTGCGGAAGCAACTAAAAATAATACCCAAAGAAATAGATGTGGCCTTGTCCCAATAAAACTTTATTTATAAAATCAGACAATGGCTGGATTTGGCCCACAGGCTGTAGTTTGCTGGCCCCAGAGAGAGTATTTCCAACTTCCCAGAAGTCTCTCTTGTTTCCCTCCTGTCCCAGTCGTCTGCCTACCCCTTCTTCGGTGCTGCCCTCTCACCCACACACCACTCTGAAATCTCACCACGGAACAGTTTTATCTATTGCCATGTGTTAGTTGTAACTGTTTTTTAGTTTCATTGAAATGGGATTGTACAGAATGGATTGTCTCATGTCTGGCCCCACTCAGCATTGTGTCTGAGTTATATTCCTGTGATTGTATGTAGCAAGAGTTTGCTTTTTTTTTTATTGCTATTAGTATTCAACGAGGAGTATGACACAATGCACACATCCTTTCTGTGTTATTGGATTTTTGGATTGCCTCCAATCTTCTGCTGTTATGAATAAGATCCTAGTAACATTCTCACCCCCATCCTTTGGAGGAATATGTGTGTCCATTTCTGTTCTTCATATCCAAGAGTGGCCTTGGGGAGACATGGGGTAGTTTAGCTTTGCATCTATCTTTTGAGAGAGGTTTGAATGCCGGATTTCAGGTGTCGTCACCAAAGTGCCCTTGGCTGAGTGGTCCTGGGTGTGTGGGTGATAACCGAGGAGGGGAGTGGTAAAGTGAGCTAGGTGTGGTCGGAGGCCAGTTCGCCCTCACACAGCCCCTTGGCTTTTAGCCCCAGTTCCTAGGAACTCCTCCCACTGTCTCCATTAACCTGGGAAGGTTTTGCAGGCAGAATGCAGAGCTGGACTCGCACACTGTAGGTGCCTCCCAGAGAAGGTGGGTGAGTGTTTGGGCCTCCCTCTTGCCTCTCCGAAGACGGAGAGAGGAGACGCCTGTACTCATCATTATTCCATCCTGAAGAGCAGTGTTGTAATCAAGGTCAAGACCCACAGAAGAGATTTCCCTTGGTTTTCAGAAGGGCTACTTCAGAACCAATTAAGCTTTTGTTTTAAGAGTATTTTGGCCAAAGGTTGATGTTTTAACACCAAGTCAGATGTGATTTAGGAAAAAATAACTCCACACACAGCAAAAACAAACTGTGTAGACCTTTCATGGTTGTTTTTCTTTTAAGATGTGAAGTGGTTTGTCCGTGTGTGTGCGCGTGCGTGTGCGTGTGCATGTGCATGCACACACACGCTTGTGTGTGTGCTCAGAGACAACCAGGAGAGGCTCCTGAAGAAATGGACCATTCCATTTGTTTACACAGCTGAGCTGCAGAGACTTTGCAGTGGGTGTTGCTCTGCCTCTTGTCCTCAGGCTTTTGCAAGTTCCCATCTGAGCTTTACCAAAGCATATCCCTTCTGCTTGGTCTTAGCGCTCACCTGCTGTGACTCAGTAAGGCCCCAAGGACCCTCCTCCAGGGCCAGGGGTGCTTTCTGAAGTCAAGGAGGCAAAGATAGAAACTTCAGAGTGTCCTGGCCCCCTTTTGGCCCCTTATTCCTCGATGTGAACTTGACGTTTAGTCTCGGCCATGTCTTAAAGTTGTTAAGATTCCAGACGTCCTGTGGGTTGCAGCCCACCTCCTTGTGTAGGTGGACCCTTGGCATTTGTGATAAAAATGGCCAGAGGTTAGTACCCGTGGACTTGGCCAGGGTGTTTGCAGTAACACAATCCCCGTGTCTGATGATGGTCTCTTGTGTTCTGGGCCTGTCCTCTTGCCGTGGGTTCCACGGCCTTTCAGTTCTCAGGATGA